TGTGACCAGCAGGAGCAGGGAAGTGATCCTTCCCCTGTACTCTGCGTTGGTGAGGCCACACCTTGAGTATTGTGTTCAGCTCTGGGCCCCTCAGTTCAGGAAGGATATTGAGGTGCTGGAGCGGGTCCAGAGAAGAGCAACGAGGCTGGTGAAGGGACTTGAGCACAAGTCCTATGAGGAGAGGCTGAGGGAGCTGGGGTTGTTTAGCCTGGAGAAGAGGAGGCTCAGGGGAGACCTCATCACTCTCTACAGCTACGTGGGAGGAGGTTGTAGCCAGGTGGGGGTCGGTCTCTTCTCCCAGGCAACTATCAGTAAGACAAGAGGGCATGGTCTCAAGCTCTGCCAGGGGAAGTTTAGGTTGGATGTTAGAAGGAAATTATTTACAGAAAGGGTAATCAGGCATTGGAATGGACTGCCCAGGGAGGTGGTGGATTCTCTGTCCCTGGAGGTGTTTAAGATGAGACTGGTTGTGGCACTTAGTGCCATAGTCTAGTAACCACAGTGGTGTTGGATCAAGGGTTGGATTTGATGATCTCAGAGATCCTTTCCAATCCAGCTGATTCTATGATTCTATGATTTATAAGACAGCTTGGGTCTTCTTATTTTGTAGTGTCTAAATGGGAGAAACTGAAAGCATTTTCCTCTGTTGACATCTAACAGCAGGGCATAACTAATGCATGTTAAATAATATTATTTATTAATTTCATAGTACTCCTCTTAGAAACCCCATTCCTGCATTAACATTTGGATTAGTTTATCATAAGGCACTAGAGTGGGAGCAAGGATTTACACATAAACATAGTGTGAGTGGCTATAGCTGACAAGTCTTCTTTGTGGTAAATGCCAATTAGCAAGTCGGAAACTTTGCTAGTGCCACCCCAAGAGTCACAGGCTCCTAAAAGCTACTCTCTGCCATTCTACAATTTCATCTGTAAATATTTCAATTGCTAAATAAAAAATTTTTCTTCACCTGGTGAGCAGAATATCTCGTTGTTCAGATTTGTTACAAATCCCACCATCACAAGCAGCACAATACCCATGGATTACTTTTCTGTGCTCATCACATATTGGTATATGCTCATGGATAAGTTCTGGAAATTTATTCTTGGAGCACAGCCATGAATCGCAGGGAAGGGTAACCTATGTCACATGCTCTAAGTCTGCCTGCATTCACTGCACCTTAGTCATCAGCATGGCACCAATGGGATGGGGCTTCCCAGTCTTGTTTAAATCTATCACAAAAATGAGCAAAGTAAGATAGTAAAAATATTTTAACTAGTAACAAGCATCCTCTGGCTTAATTCATAGGCTTTCTCACCTTCTTATATGCAGGAAAGAAACAGTGAGAGGAAAATCTGCTTTTATTACAGGGACATGGAAGTAAGCAGTTTAACATACTGTGGATCAGTTCTGATGGCAGTAATGGGAATGAGAGCAGCCAATTACATTTTGTCTCTTCTTCCCCCTGCTCACTGCTATTTGGTATCGCAAAACTTTCTGATGTTTGTAGGTATTCCTAGGCTACTTTAAAAAGCAGGAGATGTTAAATAATCATGTCCTGTGCTTGTGGTGTGTTATATCCTCTTCCCATGTGAAAATCAGAAGCTGTCTGACATTGTACAGCAACACTGCTCATCTTTCAAAGCAGGAAGGACCTCAGATTCCAGAATGTAATAGGGCATGAGAATCTGTTCACTCATAGTAAGTGCAGGGTCTGGCTGAGATCACTAGAGTCACAAGTTTAAAATTGGCCTTTGGTGCCTCCTTCTTCAGGCAAAAGTGTTATTCCAAACACTATATAGCACTGGAGGAAAGGATTATCCCCTTATGCTCCACACTGCTAGTCAAAAGCTGTCTGCAGAAGTCAATGAGAGCTGTAATGTGCTGTCTGCAAGTAAGTAAACCCACCTGAGACATAGGGTAAGGGTTTTGCAAACATCCTGCAACAACTCAGCAGTGACAAACTGACTAGCTCAGGCCTGGACACCTCAGACAACTGTCTTAGCCCTGTGCTGGGGCCAAACCAGTGGCCTGCTGACAGGTCCTAAACTTGGAAACACTAGGGCGGGTGTGCTGGCACAAATCAGCACATTCTGCATTTCAGACACAAAGGAGTGCCAAGGTACACCCACCTCGTGATCAGACACAATGAATACAATGAAGAGCACTGCATCCTAACTTCAAATGCACAGCAAGAGCTCCTGCACTGAATTATTGTTATTTATATTATTATCGGTTATTGATTATGGATTATAAATCCAATTCATGGTGGGACATCAGTGGCAGCTGGCATCCGTCACTGGCCGTCAGCTCTGACTACTGACTGGAACAAGGGAAGGAACAATTCATACCAGCAGAGAACCCTGCCTCCACCTCCAGCACAACAGCATGTAGAGGTAAAAGTTTTCTAACCTGACTGAGAATTGTCTCCTGTGTACTTCTCTTCATGGTGACTCTTGTAGACCTGAAGATTGGAGTAAAATATATATGTAAGGAAAAAGAATACAAAAATACTTTAAACAGGCTACAGTCAACACTGTTCTTGTCCAGAATTTTCCATTCAGTTATTTTTAAAAAGAAGGTGTTTGGCAAAGACTTTTCATTAAGTGCAGTTAGATGTAGAGAAATAATGTGAAAGGAAACAGATATGTCATGCAGAAAATCACAAATACAGTAGTGCTTTTATATACTAAGTTCATGTTTAATGCCTGTGATTGAAAGAGAATTGACGTTCTTTTTAGGTATTGTTTTACGTGCAAATTGCATACAAACCTGAAAGAATGAAATGCAAAAAAAAAAAAAAAAAAAAAAAAAAAAAAAAAAAAAAAAAAAAAAAAAAAAAAAAAAAAAAAAAAAAAAAAAAAAAAAAAAAAAAAAAAAAAAAAAAAAAAGAAAAAAAAAACCCAAACCATTAATTTTTGCTCTTTAAAAAACATTTTCTTAACACTATTTAAGCTAATTTTGCATGCTTCCTTTCATAGGTCACTAATAAACTGGAATTCAGAAAACTCAGTTGTAAAAACAACTCTCCATCAAATGAGGGGTAGAGGTAGGTGTCATTCATCAGAACTTTATTTCCAAGTAATTTTTAATCATTCTCATGAATGAAAAAGTTAAACACAAAATCTTAATTCTTTGTACTTCTGAGAGATCTTGGGTAGCTCCAGCAACAGGTATTTCAAGCTTTCTGAGAATTTACATAGGACATTTCCATCATCTTAAAATTTACACATATTGCTTAGACTACAGTAACACAGATTAAATGTTCCTCTGCTTTTCCATTCTGCTCAGAAAAGGAAGCACTGTCCAATTCATGACAATCTAATACCCGCTAATTACCCTTTCCTTTGCTACATGGTGACAAGAAAGTATTTTGCTTTGCTGTTAATAGCAAACTTGAACAAAAATGTCAGTTCCTCAAGTCTTCCCTTTAAAATTAGCACATGATATTTTTAATTACAGCTAACAGAGACACTTGAGGGCTAAAAATAATACATTTCTTTTTTTAATTCCGTCACTAGAGAAGATACACATACTCCCTGTACACACATACTCTGATACACATTCTCTTTTCTGTCATTCTTGCAAGCACTCTATCTTTTTTTTCTTTTTGCAGTGGAGGGGAGCAGGTAAAGAGGGAAAGAGAACAAAATGGAAAGGAAAAAAACCATAAAATTCAGACGTGGTTTTCTGTAATGAAGAAAAAAACCCCAAAGGACAGGGAAATCCTGTGCTCATTTTCCATATATATTTTGTTCAACTGAGTATAAGAAGTGACTCTTCCTCCAAAAAAATTTTAAACACTTATCTTGTAACCTTGCAGAAACTCAAAGAGATATGATCTTGTCCATACAGAGCAAGATTAAGAATCTCATCAGATATGATACAGTGACACAAGGCATCTGAACTGCTCGTTCTGGTCCCAACCTGGAGCTTCTCTCAGAGCCAATGGATATATATATCTCTGTCTACTGCACAACTGGCAGAAACACTGGCACAGTGCTCTACTAAAATAATAAAACAAACTACTTTTCTGTTCTGAATACTTCTCTTCCCTTCTGCAGGCATGTCCTGAAAGAGCCATGTAAGGTAAGTTATGAGGGCAGTCATACAGTTAATCTTGGGTCAATATGTTCTTAAGAGGAGAAGCAACACCTCTGTTGTAAATTTATGAATGTGCAAATAGTGGACTCAATCCTGCCAGGTCTCAAATTGACAACAGCAGCATTGATAATTACCTAGGCTTCAGCACATGGAAATAGTCACATGAAAGTCAATCCCCATTCATAAATCTTCACTATAAGAGTGCTTAATAATCTCTTACAAAAATTTTTTTTGATGCATAAATCTATCATGCTAAATTTTTGTATGTAATAGATCTGGCACAGAAATACATGAAGGATTCTGCACAATGATCTCTGATCATACTGTGATATCCCTTACAGAGGCTGTCCATAATGGCAAATATCTACATTTTTTTTAAGGTGAAACAATGCATAATATGTAAAGATGTTTCTAAGTCAACGTACACTGTCTGAATGCTGAAATCCAGCCATTTAAAATTATGCCAATGCATTTGCATCAAAATTTGAATCATGACAGCTTTTACTGCTCTGTAACTAAATAAATAGTTTGTTTGATTTCCTTTCATCCTGCCGTAAAGATTTATCTGTGGCTTGAAAAGGAACCTAATTTTTTTAGGGTAACGAAATGTTCTTCTGCTGCAAGTATTTAGGCACGGATTTTAGGAATACTGCAGTGTCCAGTATCTCCTACAGGCAGGAGGTATTTCCACCACAGAAAAGAAACAGAATAATTACATAGCTCTGTTGGATGAACCTTGTTTTTTCAACAGGAGACCTTACATCTCCCCACACCACGCTTTCTCTTTGGCCATGGTCTTTAAAAAACCTCTTTGTGTTAAAGGTTATATTCCCATGGAGAACCTTTCAAAAGCCATATTTCCTGGAATTGCCAAATGTGTAAAGCTCCCCAGACTATCAAATTTGTGCTCAATTCACAGGTAACTGCTTATGAACCAATACTAAAAAGACATGAAGGGTGGTGCTTTCCATTGGTGCCAGTAGTACAGAGAATAAAAATGTCACCTTGGATGTGAGTTCTTAGATAAAACTTGTTTCTTCAGTTCCCTTGTTATCAACAACAAGGAGGGGCTAATGGGGCAGGTGAAGTTCAAGGACAGCCTAGGCATCAGCAAGCTGATGCCTAGAAGTTCAAGAATGAATGGAGAAGTTCAAGATCCTCAGGGCGGTGAGGAGGGCACACAGCAAGCTCCCTGCACTGGACTTTAGGAGAGCAGACTTTGACCTCTTCAGGGATCTGCTTGGAAGACTGCCATGGGATAAAGCTGTGGAAGGAAGAGGGGCCCAAGAAAGCCGGTTAATATTCAAAGATCACCTCTTACAAGCTCAATGCACCCCAACAAAGGAAAGTCAGGCAGAAATGCCAAGAGGCCTGTATGGATGAACAAAATACTCATGGACAAACTCAAAAAGGAAGCCTACAAAAGGTGGAAGCAAGGACAGGTAGCCTGAGAAGAATACAGAGAGAGTGCCTGAGCAGCCATGGATCAGGTTAGGAAAGATGAAACCTTGGTAGAATTAAATCTGGCCAGGGATGTCAAGAGAAACAAGAAAAGCTGTTATGGGTATGTTGGTGAATAGAAGAAAGATTAGGGAAAATGTGGACCCTCTTTGTAAGGAAACAGGATACCTGGTTACCCAGGACATGGAGAAGCTGAAGTACTAAATGGTATTTTTCCTCGGTCTTCACTGCCAAGTGCTCCAGCCAGACTGCCTGAGTCTCAGGAGATAAAGACAGGGACTGGGAGAACGAAAAGCCACCCACTGTAGGAGAACAGGTTTGAGAACTTTTAAGGAACCTGAAGGTGCACAAGTGCGCAGGACCTGATGGGCATCCATGGGTCCTGAGGGAGTTGCTGGAGGAAGTGACTAAGTCATTATCCATCATATTTGAGAAATCATGACAGTCCAGTGAAGTTCCCAGTGACTGGAAAGGGGGAAACTTAAACCTTATTTCTAAATATGAAAAAAGAAAAAAAAAAAAAGACCTAGGGAACTACAGGCCAGTCAGTCTCATCTCTGTGCCCTGTAAGTCATGGAGCAGATCCTCCTGGAAACTATGCTAAGGCACATGGAAAATAAGGAGGTGATTGGAGACAGCCCAGCACAGCCTCACTAAGGGCAAATCGTGCCTGACGGAGTTGGTGGCCTCCTACAATAGGGTTACAGCACTGGTGGATAAGGGGATGTCATCTAACTGGACTTATGCAAAGCATTTGATACTTTCCTGCACATCCTTGACTCTAAAATTGGAAAGATCTGGATTTTGACAGATGGACCACTCAATGGGTAAGGAATTGACTGAATGGTCCCACTGAAAGAGTTGTGGTCAATGGCTCAGTGTCCATGTGAAGAGAAGTGATGAGTTGTGCCCCTCAGGGGTATGTATTAGGACCAGTATTATTTAACATCCTTGTCAGGGACATGGACAGTGGGATCAGGTGCACCATCAGCAAGCTGGCTGATGATACCAAGCTTTGTGGGGTGGTTCATACCCTGGAGGGTCCCCAGCATAAGAAAGACATGAGTCTGTTGGAGGAGGGCCAGAGGAGGGCACAGAAATGACCAGAGGGCTGCAGCACCTCTCTCACGTGGAAAAGAGGAGAGAGTTGGGGTTGTTCAGCCTGGAGAAGAGAAGGCCTTGGGGAGACCTTACAGCACCTTTCAGTACATAGAGGGGGCCTACAAGAGAGCTGGAGAGGGGCTTTTACATGGGTGTCTAGTGATAGGACAAGGAGTAATTGCTTCAAACAGAAAGATGGCAGGTTTAGATTAGATATCAGGAAGAAACTTTTTACTGTCAGAGTGGTGACGCACTGGAACAGGTTGTGAAGGGAAGTTGTGGATGTCCCATCCCTGGCAGTGTTCAAGGCCAGGTTGGATGGGGCTTTGACCAACTTGGTCTAGCGGAAGGTGTCCCCTGTGGCAGGAGGCTCAGAACTAGGTGATCTTTAAGGTCCCTTTTGAGCCAAATTAGTCTATGATTTTTACTGGCTTAGGCAGTCCAATGAACTGGGCAAAGAAAAGTAGAAAATTACTTTTTTCTATATTCCTACTGCTATTTTTTACAGCTGGCTGCAATTTGTAATTTTGTTGTACTCATTATCTTGTAATAAGAAGATCATATCTGCACTTCTCTGTACTAGTCTTTCAGCTGTGTTTTTTTTAAAGAAAAAAAAGATCAGATTGTATCTCACTTTCAAATCAACATCAAAGTAGCTATAAATGAAAAAAAAACAGTGAAGAGATTTAAGCAATGAATTAAAGAGAATACATTTGAATACATAACTTTATCCCTGCTTCTGTTACAAAACTCAGTTGCACTCTAGCCTGAGATCTTAAAAAGTATTGTGACTGTAAATACTTTGCTGCTAATACTAAAAACCGTGGTTAATTCAAAGATTAGGTCAGTTTACAGTAATACAAGTCTTACTTCTCAGTGATAGACCTTCAAAGTTCTTCCAAAAGTTATGCAGTTTTGTTCCTTGACTACCTGTCTCCACAAAACTTACACCAGGAGGATGGTTTCACTGGGCAAATTTTATAGACTACCACTTACGAAATTCTTCCAGTAGTAGTGGTTTTCCAATAATGTTTTAATACTGAGTATTGTTCTTCTAAAGAAGGGGCAACTACACACACTGGTGACTTTCTTAAAACTTTTTCTGCATAAGTGTCTTTACCCATATCATGGGTAAAACTGCATAAAAATCTAAATAAGATACATAACCCCTTCCCAAAATAACATAGAAACATACCGTGTTTCCCAAGCACATCTTTGGTCTAAAATGTTGCCAGCCACTTCCTATTTCACCCTTGAAGACCACAAGCTGAAAACAGATTTCACTCTTTGCTCACAGAATTCCAGACTTCTTTACAGTGCATCTACTAGAGTATTTTTGGGGATAAGCATGTGATATGATCATTTGCCTCAGGCACTGTCAGCCGGTGGACACCAGGAGCAGATTGCAGCAAACAGCTCCCCATACGACCAGATTTGTTGCAGGACCAGCTGCTGGTGTGGATGTGTGTCTGGACTGCAGAGACCTGGGTCAGCTGCTGCTGCTAGTTTACTTGGGTTATCGCTTGAATGACACCCCTCCAGAACACCTCTTCTTACAAGTGTGTGAAGTCTCAGGTGCTGCATGAAGGTTACACTTTATTTAAGAACAACACATTTGCAAGCCTTGTCACCACTGAGCATAGTCATTATGAGTACACCACATAAACTGTCAAGAGCAGCTCTACAAAGAAGGCCCTGAACTCCCTTTGAACTATGGTCTGTGTCACTCCACAGTATCATGGACTCAACTGTCACATTCATGCTCCAGAAAATTAAAGCCTTTCTTCCTCTACTCAGCAGTCCTACAGAAGGAGAATAGCCCATGCAAATGCTGAAGTTTTCTTGCTTGCTCCAACAATCAGTGAGAATCTCATTGACAATATAGATCACATCTGCTTGCAAAAATTGATAAGCCAAAATATATTATTTTACTAAAAGCTATGGAAATTATCACATGAAAGAAATACAATACCTGTTTGTTGTTTTCATTGGTACAATGCAGCCTCTTGAGGGACACAAAATGTCTTATTTTCCTAGCAACAGAAATAATCCCTTGTTACCATATCAAATGGTAAAGAGAGAAGTGAAGTGATACACTGCTATTTTCTATAGCAGAGATCTCCATGCCCTCAGGAAACCAGATACCAAATCCCACACTAGCAAGAAGACTGGGTGACCAGCACTCCTTCAACATTACAGTGATGTATTTGTCTCAGGACACCTGATCCTTCTACTCTTACAGGAATTCTCCTGCACATCTGGGAGCTGAATTTGGCAATGTGCCTGTTCTACACTGCAAAGGTGGGAGCATGTACAAGCATACTCACCTACAAGGGGATTGCCCAGCTGCTAAATACATGGAGGTTCATGCCAAACTTACAGATTGAGAAAGCGGAAAGAAGACCCTAAAAACTAGAAAGCACATATGTTCTGGACAAGTTAGTTACCCTCCTTGACCTATCACAGGTGTTATCTTCACGTGCTGCTGGATACTGTCTCCTGATTTTCTTTTTGCGTAGTAAACTCCTTGCCATTCCTAAGGAAACACACACAACAGAGACAGCATCTAAGAATATATAGCTTGCAGTCAAATCTTTATTTATTATTGCATAGTCCTTACACAGTAAATTTTTACATTTTATTTCATGGTTGTCTTTTCTAAAATAATATAAAATTTATAGAGAATAGCACCTTTAACAGTCATTTGCTAACATAAAGACGGTGTAACTAAGTTTCTCTTATGAGAGAGCATACACTTTTACAAGGAACTTCAGGAATCATCTACTTAGAGAAGTTACTTGCTAGGTACCACTATAAGCAGCAGTAGTTGTGAAACATCCAGAAGGTACTTCCCTTGGGACCAGCAGAAACAAACTGTGCTGAGCACCATTCAGCTTTGAAGTTGTTGGTTGTCGCAATATGTATGCTAAATTTCAAAAGTTCTTGTCCTAAAGATGTTGTTCAACTAACCTCAAAGAAGAAAGATTTTTAATGATGGAACTACATGGCAGTAGAATAGGATTAAGTTGGAAAATGGGTGGAGGATACCTTTGAGCAGACAGTGTGAGCTGCTGGGCAGCCCATATAAATGAGGAGGAGCACAGCAGGAGTGACCTGCATGTACTGCTAATGAACCAAGGTGAAGTGCAAACAACTCCAGACAGTGACTCCAGCTCAGATCATTGCTGGAAATGATTCAAAGGTACAAGAACTCCCCAAAGTTCTTGAAGCAGAATGTGAGACAGGGAAAGGTGAGAGGTATTTCTGCAGCCTGTGGGAGATGGGATAAGAGACTGTTGTTTGGATTAGGGGAACACATTGCCAGGCCCATCACCACAACAACAGGAGTTCACAGTGCACTGCAGATAGAATTCTAACTGTAGTTAGAAAAACAAACCCCACTGGGTGCCAATACTTTTTGGTCCTTGAAGTATGCAGTCAGTAAAGCCTCTGCAGTTTGACAGAACAGTTAAACCTTTTGGTTGGATGATTCAGCCACCTGAGAGACTGACTGAGGGACAAACTGTTACGTCCCAACTAACAAAAGCTCCATGGACTCTAAGCAAAATAGAGACAGAGAAAACATTCTGATATTGATCTTAAGCCAACAGATCAGTAGGAGTTCAGTCAGATCCTAAAAGCAAAGCTAATGAAATCTGTAGTCACTTGTCTGTGACATGGGCTGTTGTGCTCCTTAAGACATCTGAGGAGTAGAATTCTGGTCTTATATGTGCACTCATGAAGAACATACCTAGTGTTCTTAAGCCTAGAGCAATAAAAAATAAAGCAGAATAAATCAATATATAAATAATAAAGCAGAATCTATAGCAATGAGATTGTTTTGTTTGCTTACCTTTCCTTTTTTAATGAATGTGTTTATGTTGTCTAAAAGATCGGCACAGTTTTTATCGCTTTTAGGTAATTCAGTAAGTTCCTTGCCAATAAGCTCTCCCTTGCGGTATCCCATCATCTGTTCAAAGGCTGGGTTAACATACTGCCAAGACAAAAGTACCTTAGGTCAGTATTTAAAGGAATGTACTTGAAGGATATTTACTCACATTTAAACTATCAAAGTGGGACAAGTTATGGCTAAAGCCACAACCACACATCCCTGTAATTCGGTGTTTCTCGTATAAAAATACTAAATGATGGTGAAACATTTTATTCAAGTAAGAAGTCAAACACAGAAAGCGATATGTAATCTCCTATTAGAAAGGACAGAGAGAGAATAATACAGTTTTTACCATAAACAACATTACTTTACTGAAAATTATAACCTAAATACAGTTACTGAAGGAACAGTCTTATTCAGCAGGCATCAGCGTGCCTCATCCAAAAATTAGGCACTTAATTGCACAAGGTTTTCTAATGGGCACAAAACTAAAATACCGAAATAGAACAGGAACTACCGTGCAAAGACCTCTTTGGGGTTCTTCTTTTCCAATTCTATAAAATAGTTAAGGTTTCCCCCCTACCTGAATGACATGATCTTCACTGGTTATTTCTACAGCTTCCTGACAATGGTCTAATGCTGTAAACACTGCATTACAAGCTCTGAAATTAGCAAAGGATTAGCACATTAGTTTTATTGTTAGAACATTTTGTTCACTATAAATACATTATGAAATTGTACTTATCGGTAGATGAATCACAAAGTAGCAGTTGTTTTGGCTAAACCATGTCACTATTTTCATTATGACTTCTTTCAGAACACCCAGCCTCAGACAGCCCTGTTAACGTGCTTTTACTGCAGATCACATTGTAAAAGTGCTCATAGGCACTGCAGCATCTTAATAGTATATTTTTATCTACATACATGTTCTGAACAGCAGGAACTAACAATTAGCAATAAAACCAACACATTACTGTTACATCAGAAAGTCTTGTGATCATTAAAGATTAAGAACAAAAAAATCATCATAGCAGATATATTCAAAGTTTTCAATAAGCAAATAGATTGGCACTGTCACAGAAGCTGTAATACAACATAGTTAAAGGAAACAATCTGGTTCATCTCAAAGTTCTAGTCCAAAAAATGTCAATTTTCCTGCTCCCAAATAATAATGCAGTGACTTATCCTGATTTTTAAGGGTCAAAATGATCTTTGTTACTCATTTTTTTCAGGGCTATCCTTGAACTAATGCATGAATACAAAAGCCTTATCTTCTTGCTACAAAATTTAAATTGCTTAAATTATGATTTATACAGAATGACCTTAACATTAATATAGGCTCCTAATGCTAGCGGGAAAAAGTATATCTCATAGAATCATAGGATGGTTTGGGTTGGAAGAGACCTGAAAAATGATCTCTTTCCAACCCCGCTGCCATGGTCAGGGAAAGTACATACTAAAAGAAACATCCTGGCATACTTGCTTTGATAGATGCCAGTACTTCATCTTTGATTTGGACTAAAGACAAACTAATTACCTTTTATATACCTCTCACTGCAGGGAGCAAAAATACATGAACATTCTTGTACTTAAAAGAAACATCTTGCTCCATGTCCGCATAGTAGGGTTTGAATTAGTACCAATGACTAGAGAACTAAGAAATACAGGACATTTCTACTTCCCCTTATCATGGAAGTAACTCTAAACCAAATAGGATGCATGAAGAGATATACACAGAAACACAGCCATGTAGCTGCATGGATGAAGATTTCTAGGAAGAAAGTGATATCCAGAAGATGACATAATCCTTATAATAAAAGGAGCTTTTACAAGTGATTTTCTAGCAATCCAAGCTGATTCCCAAGTGTCATTTTGTGCCGTGTGAAGTAACTAATTTATCTCAGTGACAGATGCCTGTCTGGGACACCAACTGCAAACAAATGTCATTACAAATGTAAACTTTCTGTATGAAAACATACAGGTATGTTTTCACTTTTCAAGCCGTAGTATTTTCATTTCATCTGGTAAGCAAGCCAGCAAAATTACAAGCCCATGTCCTCTTTGATTGGCACACAGATGTCCAACCAGTTTTCAGACCAGAAGAAACAATGCGGAGAAGCAGAGTACCTGCTAGGAATGGAAAGACATCTGTGACGACTGACATGACCTTATCTGTTTTCTTGGGCTGGTTCTACTCTTTCACCATGTTTCTCTTTTTTCTGAACACTTGAAATATCCCAGGTTTAACTCCATAGACTAACTTTCTGCATTCTCTTCCCTTTCACTGTTACAAAGCTGTACGGAAGACCTACAGACCAGCAACAAGTGGGACAGACATACAGTATAACACTTTTTAACTCACTTAATTAAACCACATGAATGAAAAAAAATTGTAACTAAATAGCATTACCAAATACCAACCTCCGCTCTGCTTAGTTTTCAATGGCACCTGCCAAATAAGGCAGAGGTAGGTATAAGACATTAGCTTTTCCAGGTTACAAATACAGCTCTTCAGAAAGTTTACCTTTTAAAAGGCAACTTCATACCCCCTTATTTTAGTACAAAAGTTGCTTGTAAGTATTACTTGTGCTTGTTAGATGATAAGGTTTAGCTACTTGGCTATATTGGGCCTATCTCTGTTAAAACTCTTTGCTTAAATATTCTGGAACTGCATCTGGTAGTGGCAGTAGCAAACCCTAAGATACCACCTTTTCTTTTCAGAGTATTTTACAGTGCTGCCAAAGGTTCCCAAAAGAGTCATGTTCAGAGGTGATGTGGATACATATACTACACAAAAATATACATAATGTTTATTATCAATATACAAAAGACATGATAACACAGGATGAATTATATATAATATTATTTACATAAATTAAAATGAAGTAGGCTCACAGTTTATGTAACTCCATTCAAGAGAGCAAGAGTAAGCAGAATTGCTGCTGTTTCCATAAACAATATGGATGAGAGAACTGTCAGTAGATGAAATGCCGCTGGGGACTGGCATTGTTTCCTTCCAATTTTAATGAACTTTAATGGCTGTAAATGAACTTACAGAAAAATATGGTAGCCAATATGAATCATGCTCCCTGGGTTGGAGTTCTAATTATTTGCATTCGTATTTGATACTACTCATGTAGAGAAGCAAAAAATTTATTTGGATATTATTCTTGAAATAAAACATGAAATACCAGTGTTTTGTGTATGAATGACAGCTTAATCTTCCCATATAAAACTGATGTTTCTGATCTACGCTGACTCCATTCAGAAGATACTTATTTAATTTTCCATTTGCAACTATCAATGAGCCAAGTCAGGACCACTGCAACTAATAATTAACTGCTAAATTTTAACTTCTAAAATGTAATAGTTGCTTTATTCTCTTGCTGAGTTTTGAAAAACAACTATTAAAATTGTGTAAGCCCAAATTAGATTTTTTTCCTTGGAAATTTTATAATTGCATTTTGCATGCATGAACACACAATCACTTGAAAATATGAAGTCACTTAGGGATTAGTTTGCAAAGAAAATCTTGGAAAATCTACTTCCTAAACAGAGCCACTGAGACCTGTGGAAAAATGGTAGTATTTTCCGTTAATGGAATTTAAAACACAGAGAATGTCCCCTCCTCTGTATTACACTCAACTTCCAGGGCTTTTTCCTTCATATACCTGCATTGCAAAAGTATCTACATGCATGCATAAAAAGCTATATTAAATATAAAATTAATCACATTTAGGAAAAAGTGATAAGGGAATCAAAGTAATTTATTTTCTCAATATGATAAAAAACTGTGCTCCTGACCCACCAAGACTTGCCCAAGCAAGAAAATAATCAAGATTGCATTCAGCTCAAGCTGTCAGACATAAAATCTTAGACACACAAGATCAAGAATGACTTTGTGAAGTTCTACCATCATGTAAATTCACAGTTTTCTGACCAAGCTTTCTCAGGGTACCAGTTACTAAGGTATTTAGGTTTGTCCTTTACATAATAACAGAAGAAGAAAATATAAAATATATTAGTTAACATGCAGATGCAAAACACACATATCCATAGCTGGGAAGAAGTAGGAAGCAACCTTAGTTGCTACAATTACTTAGACCAAGAGGTTGATGTTTGCAGTTTCTTACACTTGTACATACCGTAATTTGAACTGAGATCGCACTTCCCCATGTTCTATTTGAACCAGTTCATTGTAACAAGCAGTTACACTGCTGTTCTCCATGAATTGCTGGAAGACAAATCAAGAGTGCATGAAATAGATCAGAATGGTTTTAAACTCTTAAACTATTATTTATTTTCCTGCATTTAAAACTCTGACCTTATAAAGAGAGCCGGTGTGAGGCCAGCAAGGGGCCATAGGGGTGATTAAGCACCTCTTCTGTGGGGAAAGGCTGAGAGAGCTGGGACTTTTCAGCCAGGAGAGCAGAAGGCTGAAGTGGGGAACTCATGAATGTACATAAATACCTGAAGAGCAATCGTAAGAGGGCAGAGCCAGTCTCTTACCAGTGGTGCCCAGCGACAGGACCAGAGGCAACATGCACAAACAGAAGCACAGGAGATTTGCTCCAAATATCAGGCAATACTTTTTTTTTACTGTGAGGGTGACCAAGGACTGGCACAGGTTGCCCAGGGAGGTTGTAGAATCTCCATCCCTGAAGATCTTCGAAAGATCTGCGTGGCATGGATCTGGGCAGCCTGCCTTAGGTGTCTTTACTTCAGCAGGGAGATTGGGCAAGTTGAATAATTATCTATTCCTCAGGAATGAGTTCCTAGTTTTTAAGACAACATGGCTATCTAAGTACAAAACAAGTACAAAAATATGCTAAAACCTCAACTGTGGATTCTTCTATTTGGTTTTAGCAACCCAGTTAGAAACAGAAAATCTAAAAAAAACCCAACACAGTCTTACACAAAACCAGTATTGCCTTGATGTTTCATTTGGAACATCTATCCTTAATTCAGAATGGAAATGGAAAACCTTAGAGACATAAAACATTCATGCAAAAAAATAGAGAGAAAAAAATGATTTGGCATTTGTTTCCAAGCAAATATTGCAGCTAAAGCTCAGAAGTAACTTTGATTCACAAGTAATCTCACTGAGCTCTCACTGTGAATTAAGAAGTGCAGAAAAGTATGTAATGTAACGACTATGCTAACAACAATGAATAAACTTTTACTCCAGACAGGAGAGAATGTCCTCTCTTTGTCAGGCACAGACTGTAGTCTAAAAGGTCTTGTGCTTGGTCCTGCTGAAATCAGGAAGTTTGTGTCACTACAAAAGAAGTAGATTCTTTGACTTAAAGTTTATTGGTAATCATATGCACTGACTTTAGTTACCACATGAAATACCCTGTGTTGTCACTAGTTCTCACAGCACAGCTGCATACAGAGTCAAGAGCTAGCATGCAAGCCTCCAAGGAACAAAGAATAACTTTTAAGAAACCTGTGCTTCTCTCCTGTATAAAAACTGTGGAAACCAATGGCTTAATTCCAAGTTGTAAGCAAAACATAAAAAAGTAAAATTAAAAATAACTGTCGACATGGGTCTGTTTCATTCCTTCATGCAAAGATCTTAAAGTATTTCTGTAACTCCCACTTAACGCGCTAAGCGAAGGCACGGGAAGAACAAAAGGCACAATATCAAGCTGGCAGAAGCAGAAGTGCGAATAGTGTTGTGTTTTTGCAAACAAACTTCTCTTCTACAACACTGTAGATTTAGAGTGCTCTCTTAAATATTCAAATTTGTGCTAAATTTAAAACAACGTAAAAACAAATCTGTCAATAATATAAAATTTGTCATTGATGGCAATCTTATTTCATAAACTAGACTTAGTAGAATATATTAAGTCTCTTTATAAACTCCTTTTTAAAGCAATGCAGTTTACTGACAAAATTTAGCCACTGCTGTTTACTGACAAAACTCTTGGCACAAATCTATGGCTAAGAACCAAGAACTGCAGCTTACTGAGGTGCTAAACCTGCTCTTAAGTGTTGTATAGCCTTCTGCAAATGTACAGAATCACTTTATTTTAGTTTATAGTGCTGATGCCATTCATTCACTGGCTGACTCAAAGCTAAGAAATCAACTGGGACCTGAAAATAGCAGGAAACATTTCCTTTTTTTAATCTGTGCCCCTACTGTGACACAAGAAAAGGAACATCTATTAACTCTCAAATATGAGAAGGTAGACAACAACAGTTCCTTTTTAAAATGTTTCATATTTATAAAGTATATTTTTGTTAAACTAACATATACCCTAAAATTGTTTTTTACTTCATTATAATTGGATTCCACGGTTGTTCTATACAGAACTCGACACAAGGTACTAGAATCATTAGCTAGTAGGAACGCATTATTCTTTGTGCTTAGCAATTGGTACTGGGTTTAACATGAAAGACTTCTTTTATTCCAATCCAGAAAGTTTTGGTAGTATCTGCTCAATGAGAATCAAGATTTGTTTAGGAAAAGAAGTTCAAAATACAAGACAAGGTTGTAATTCAATAAATGCAAACATTCAGATCCTCTGTTTGCTGATTTAAATCATAGTGAAAAATCAGTCAGGAAGCTGACTTATTCAAATTAGTCCATCCTAAGTAGGCCACCATTAGATTTATGAGGTTGAGAAGGAAAAAAAAATCAGCATAATTAATGTACTGAACTAAGAACAGCATTAATACACAAACACAAAAGCAGTTAATGATACAGGGGGAAAATCAGAAGATGCAATAAAATAGAGTTCCTTGAGAAGGAGGAAGAAAAAACAGAAATAAGTAAAAAAGAAAAGATTATTATTTAAGTAGGTATGATTTTCCAAAAACAAATTTCATTTTTGCTCCAGAGGAAGAGATTCCCTGCATCTCTCTTGAAGAATGGTATTTTAAAATCTTTGTGTGGGATGGTTTTGTGTGTTAATGGATTTAGTCCCTCCTGATCCCCATTGAAGCAGAAATAATTCCTATGTCCACACGACCGCAAAAATGGAATGTTTGACATCAGATGTGTTTTAAAGTCTTGAAGACTTTAAAAGAAGAATTCTCCAATAGGGAATTATTATATTATGCAAGCTCTGATAAATTTGGGACATCAATAGGGAAAGATTAGAGCAGCTGTCAGGTGCAAAAAGATTTTATTTTCCTAGGCAGGCAGTGTGCCACTGGAACGTGTCTTCTCTGGTTTTACTCAGTACTACACCTACAGTTATAATCTAGCTCACAAAACATATTGCCCTGCATCATTTTAAAATGAAACACTAGAACTGAGAAGTAATAAAGTTTTCTTTGAAAAATATTAAAGCACTGGCATTCTTGAGCTGACCTTTCTCTTAGATTCACCTTTTCCAATTTTTAGAGTGTCTGTGTGCTTTAGAAAGGCTTTGGGCTTCAAATCACTCGTGTCCACAATACTCTTGCAGGAGAGGCAAGACCTAGAACCTCTTTTTATTTTGAGATGATCTGAAAATGATAATTCTGGTGCATGTTCTGCTATGTAAACAAACTTGGGCTGAATGTGAGGTAGCTCAGGTACTGGACATCTGAGCATCTGAGCATGAGATTCTATCTGAATTAATTCCATTCCTTCCCTGATATTCCTTACTACAATTCATTGTCCTAAATATATATATATTTAGGACAATATATAGTTAATTCTCTCTAACTACAGTGTTCACTGATGTGCTTCTGTTGCTTAAGGACATAACTTAAGCACATAACTCCTTATGAACTTAAATAATACCACTGATTTATATTATAGCAACATAACACTCATGCCCATCCAAAGCCACTCACACAAAGATGAGAAGAGGGTAAGAAACCTAGACTTTCAGAGCTGAGAAATCCTGCTTTTCTGCTCTGTCCGACAAAGCTGTTTTGAGAAACAGTATGAACAGTCATCTTTACTTCTGCTGCCTGTACAGGGGAGAGCCTCTAATTCTGTCCTGAGAAGAACTGGCACAAACCAGGACAACAGACCACATAGGAAAAAAAAAATTATTCTTCACATCAGGAGCTGGACCACTTTTGTAGTCCCACTAGAAGAGGAATCCCAGCAATCTGAGACATGCAGAGATGTTGGGGTGACTAGTCAGCATGCTGCAATATGCAGTACATATTAATCAGAGTCTCCCAACACTGTTTTTTAATGCAGTCATAAACAAAACCCACCCATCACCCAGTCAGACCACAAGAAATGAATCTCTGTACTCTTGCTATTCTGAAAGGATTAGCTACATCACAGACTTTCTTATTTCACATGCTTCTGGAATACATTGTTGAAAAGAAAAGAGTACCAAATCAACTGCCACGGGTTTCTTATCAAAAAATTTTTGTCAGAAGAGGATGTATAGTTTTCAGTTTGAGGAAGTAGGAGTGTAATTTATGAAGTTACTATATGGTTTCTATATTACGTGGATAATTTATACTTACCCTATCAAAGCCTGCATCAAGAAGGGGAAGAACAGAAGTCTCTTCTTGGTCAGCAGATCTACAAAACAAAATCACAAAACCCCAGAATCATTCTAGTTGGAAAAGACTGTTAAGATCATCAAGTTCAACCTTTAATCCAGCACTGCCAAGTCCACCACTAAACCATGTCCTAAGTACCATGTCTACATCTCTTTTAAATATCTCCAGGGTTGGTGATTCCTGGGCAGCCTGGTCCAATGCTTTGCAACCCTTTTAGTAAAGAAATTTTTTGCAATATTCAGTCTAAACCTACGTTGGCACAACTTGAGGCTATTTCCTCAGATCCCTTGCTACTTGAGAGAAAAGACTGAGCCTCACCCCGCTACAACCTCCTTTCAGGTAGTTGTAGGGAGCAATGAGATCGCCCCAGAACCTCCTTATCTCCAGACTACACACCCCCAGCTCCTTCAGCCACTCCTCCTATGACACATGTTTCAGCCCCTTCCCCAGCTCCGCTCTTCTCTGGACTGACTCCAGCACCTCAGTGTCCTTCCTGAATTGAGGGGCTCAGAGCTGGACACAGGATTTGGGGTGTGACCTCAGCAGTGCCAAGTGCAGGAGGACAATCAGTGCTCTGGTTCTGCTGGTCACATTATTTCTGATACAGGCCAGGATACCCCTGGCCTTCTTGGCTACTGGGCACTGCTGGCTCATGCTCAGCTGCTGTTTAACCAGCACCCATGGGGTTTCCTTTTCCGCTGGGCCACTTTCCAGCCACTCCTCCCCAGTCTGTAGCACTGCCTGGGGTTGTTGTAACCGGAGTGCAGGACCTGTCACTTGAACCTCAAACAATTGGCCTCAGCCCATCAATCCAGCCTGTTCAGATCCCTCTGCAGAGCCTTCCAACTCGCCAGCAGATCAACACTTCCAGTCATCTCCAGAATTACTGAGGATGCACTCAATGCCCTCATCCAGATCATCAGTACAGACATTAAATATGACCGGTATATTTTATGGTCACACAACATTTAAGAATTAGATGGTACAAATTTGACAAGTTGTTTAACATAATGAACTCAGTGAGAACAGTTTTGCATAAAATACATACATAAAATCATACTATTGCAGAAGTTGATGCTACAGTCTTATTTTATAGGTATCTGCAGTTATTACTACAACCTGATAGTTACTCCTACAGCAAACCTGACAGACCCTATAGAGAAGTCCTGTCTCTCTTCACAGTCAGGGGATTACAAAAAGAAAGAGGATAAAAGACATACAGATCTTGTAGAGATAATCTCAAAAGAAGTTATTAAGAAAAAGGTGAAGTAAGTTGTAAAATCTCGCTCAGCAGCAAATTTAGTCTATTTTTGAATCTTGACAGGAATAGTTCTCTTGTCACTCTATTTTCTAATATTTTAAGTGGTCTAGGAAATTAATAAAATGACAATGGATTCAATAGTGTGTAGTGTTCTAATCAGGGTATCTGAAGGTGTTGATGAAGATGTATTTAAGTCAGTAAGAATTCTCCCTGAATACATGGAGTATGAATTACTCAATAAGAATTTCAGGATAACATTCTGGTAAGTTTAGCATCAATAGGATTGAATTTTACTCCATTACCCAGTTCCCTAAAAACCACAGTGTGTTAATTGACCCAGTTATTTCCTTTAGAAAGTAATATACACCTTTCTGGTTTTGGTTTGGATTTTTTTTCTTTTAGAAACTAATATATGTCTTCCTAATTTTCTTAATATATAAATCATTCTGAAGGTGATAGGGATAATACTAGTCTGCATTAAAGTTATCAAACACTCAAATAAAACATAAAACATCACTAGCCCATTTCAGGTGAAAAATATTAAACTTAGTAGACTTGCTAGTAAGATGTTTTCTGTTATTAGATAACTATTATGCATAATATTATTATAAAGTAAAATAAAAATCTCTCACAAACCAGTAATACTTACATGCGTGGAACCACAGCAAGTATTACAGTGTGCTCTGATGGCTCTACAGCACGAATGGACCTGAGGAAACAAAAATTTCTCAGTTACACTCAATGCTTTCCCAAGGTTACTCTGAGTATCTTCACTGTAAATATAAATGAAACCATGACTGAAAGACACCATTGAGGCTAGAAAATATGATATTGCACTGCCAAACCTACCTATCCCCACTCAGACAAACCATTTTCATTTTGCCACTAGATTCCTTTTGCTCTACACAGTGCAGAAGGCAAGAGCTCCAAAAACACATAGCACAAACAGTAGCTTTTCAAATCCACTCTTTGTTTGACCCATATACTCAGCTTCTTTGGGGCAGACTGCTCTGAATGCGTGATTTGAGAAATCCAGTACATTTCAATACCTGCTAGCTAATTTAAACAAGAATCTCTACCACTTCTCATACCTACCAGTGTCCTTCTAGACATCCTAAAATTTTCTTTAGAGGGTGAGAAGCATTTTTGAGGCATGCAAGTAAGAATCATAGAATCATAGAATCATAGAATCATAGAATCATAGAATAGATTGGGTTGGAAAAGACCTCCAAGATCATCAAGTCCAACCCCTGATCCAACTCCAATTACTATATCATGGCACTAAGGGCCACATCCAATCTCTGCTTAAAAACCTCCAGGGATGGTGAATCCACCACCTCTCTGGGTAGGCTGTTCCAATGCTTGATTACCCTCTCTGTAAAGA